TGTAATGAGCATAGTTTTGTAAAAATAAAAATATCAATAAAAACACCGGATGACATATTTTACTGTTCTTTCTTTTTGTTACTATATATATATATATATATATATATATATATATATATATATATATATATATATATATATATATATTAACTTGTCGGGAAAGTAATAGAGCATTTTCAAAGTGACAAAAAACAAATTTTAAATGTAATTAAGTTTAATTTTTATTAAGCAGTGACATAATATGAAGTTGAATTTTTTATTCGTCGTTCATAAATTTAAAAGTTTTGATTAGAAGAAAACTAACACCCCCGAATCATTTTGAATGTATATGAGAATGATTCGAATAATCCTAAAGTCCAAATTTTCTTCAAGGATTGTTTTGCGCTTAGTTATGTCTTATAATGTTATTCTGGAGGATGAAACGGTTTGCTGAAGTTGTTTATTTGTGGCGTAATACTTTATTGGCATTTTCTTAACAGTAACGATATGCAGTGTTGGTTTCTCTAGTGTTCAGTTCGTTATAGAACATATTTGTCACAATCTTCTCGGTGTAGACTGTAGAGCAAAATCGGGTTGCACTTTGACACAGCGTAATCCTCTGCTTTTTGTATCTCTTGTTCACATATATTTCTAATTTGAAACATTCCAGGTGTGACAGAGAGAGTTTGGGAAACACACACAGACACACGCAGACAGACACACACACACACACACACACACACACACACACACACACACACACACACACACACACACACACACACACAGACACAAGTATTTTTAAAAAAATGAAATTGGAATAGATTTGAATAGTGAAATTAAATCAGAGCATTTTGTTTACTGATGTGGAAATTTGATCTAGGGCAGAAGTTGTACCCATTGAATCTGGGTAAACAGAGACAATGGAAATGGTCGAAATAATTTTTATCGATTAAAAATTGAAATAGAGCTGAGTAAGCAAGGGGGACCTTTAGAATTCCCATGATTTTGGTTGAAACATCCCAAACCCTGTGATAATCACGTGCAAAGCAGTAGGGCCAAGGGTCAGTTGTAACCAGCCTGGTTTATCTATATAAACGCGTAGTTATGCTGAAAAACGCAGACGGAAGAGGCAGACAGAAGAGGCAGACGGAAGAGAGAGACAGAAGAGAATTAGCCCGGGCAAGAGGTGGGCTAGAGACAGTGGAGAGTCGAGTTGGAGACTCAAGGAGAAGAAAACGTGACGTCAGAGATTGGAACGAAGCGTCGCTAACATGTGCTGTTGATATAAGTACCGCTGCTTCTTCTACCATGAATATTACTACTATTGTTACTACTTCTAAGGAGGAACGTCACTATAAACTATAAGCCGCGCACAGAAATCTTATCCCCCCCATCGCAAGAGTCGTATATCGTTCTGAGACGATTTAACAACAAGTTAATCATAACACACTCACTCTCTCTGTCCAGAATCCAGTGTATGCGTTTTTTACGTCAATTACTTTTCTTTTCTGTAACCCGTTTTCTTTTCTCTACTATTCTTTTCTGCTATATAAAAGACATTAACAATTCAATCATTGAATAGTTGTTTGTCCGGCTTTCTGCAGATATTAATTTTTTTTGCTGCATTCTAAATTTCTTAGCGCAGACTCCCCAGCCGTGTCTACATCTTCAGTCGTCCGTGAATCGATGAACATGTCTTCTGCTTTCTGGATCAAACCAAACACAACGTGGGCAGGATTAAACCAGTGGACCGGTCGAATAATCAACGGATGCTCAGGGGATCTACGGCCACTCCCTTAAATTCGGTTAAGACCGAGTAGACACCTCAACCCAGAGAGTAAGACGTCAGAGGTTGATGGGCTGGGGCGAAAGTGTTAGGAAAGAATACGTAAATTTTCATTCCTGGTCAATAGACAGTTGTAAATCATTGAAGTCTATGACCGATTTTATGGGGAACGGGAATATATCTGTTTAAACTTCTTTCCAATTTATTTGAGATGGTCGTGTGTTATTAAAAAATATAGCTTTTCATTATCTTTCTTGTTGCCTTGGCGAGGATCTTTTTTCATCGATAGCTTAACAAGACCAAGTGGTTAGTTTATCAGAAGGATAAAAAATATAACCAGTTCCACAACAGTATAAAATAGAAAAATAGAAAAAAATGCCCATTTTCTATTTTATACTCTTGTGGAACTGGTTATATTTTTCACCCGCCCCTGTTCAATTTTAATTTTGTGTAATTAAAATTTGTCTTTTAATCGCGTTCTCCCTTTGCCTCGTCATTTACCTTATTGAGTGTGTCTTCATTTGTTTTCCCAATTGCCAACAAATACCTTTGAAAAAGTGTTGACCGAAAGGTACCTAAGGTATGACGTCTGTGTTGTTTAAAGCTATGTTTCATTTCTTTGGGTACAAATCACTTTTTGTATATATATATATATATATATATATATATATATATATATTCACACACTAAAAATGATGATTCTAAATTTGAAGGCTTTTATTTTATCTTCATAACACTCTGAATATTTTGCAGCGCTGACGTAATTACACCGTTTACTGCTGACGTCATCATAGCTTGAGCGACATATCCGTTATCCAAAGAATTATGTCTTTCCAGATTAAAGATTCCAACTGACATTTTCTTTATAAAAAAATGGATCAAAGGTCAATGTTTGAAAGCGAAAAAATGAATATAAAAGTTTTGAACTCTGACCGAGGAAAATAGCTTTGTTCGGACAGACGAAAAGGAAACGGGTTTTTTGTCTAGTTTGTTTTTTAATCATTTTTACTGTTACAAAGATTTTTTTAAAATTTAATGAAACTAAATAGAGTTTAATTGATAAATGGGAAACTGATTTTGAGTTAAAGTTTTGTTTTAAAAGTCTCGGAAATTTAAAAAGAATATTCGTATTGAAAGAAATCATGCGACTTTAAAAAAAAGAGTCGTTCAGTTCATTGAATATTATACATCTCAAATCTGAACGAATTTTAAAATAGATATCCAAGCGATGTAAGTGATGTAAATTGAATCAGTTATAAGTTCACTAATGCACTATCTAAATATTAGTAACTAAATCCATCTGATGAATATATTATAAATATATCTAATATTTATATTATAATTATAATGTTATAATACATTATAATATATACTGTATAAATAGTATAAAGTTTCAAATAAAATAAACCTAAATTAGAAGTATAGTTTACAGACCCAGAAACCATTCCTTGTGTTTATAACGAGAAGATTCTTTGGATTTAATATACATACATATACATACTCTCTAGCGCTCTGGGTAGTCTGACTGCGCCCTGATGACGACTAAGAAAAAATGTCTGGCAAAGACAATGCATAGATCGGATTACTTATTAGGTATTCCGCAACTGCAGACTCGGGAATATTGATAAGCGTTTGCAAATTTTCATAATGGCATCTACGAATCCAAGGTGGTACGTGCTGATCAATTCTCACCTCCAAACTCCGAATAGTTTTACCAATGTCTTCAGTATCACACTGACAGTTAAAATAATATATCACAAAACTAAAATGATGAGGGAATAACTTGATGCCTTCTCTTCATGCCACTTCGGTTTGATAATTCATCATCATAAGCATCGTCTTCATGGATGTCGTTGTAGGGTCGCTGCACAACTAAGCACCTGAAAAGTTCCATTCATTGTTGAAAGCCGGGGAGGTTTTCATTCATTTGTAGTGTCTTGGGTAAATACACCAAGTGGAATCCAGATTGAAGCCTCGATTTGGTCATGGACACGTGGCCGTTGATTTCGTCAGTCTGTCTTAGCCAGTGACATCAATCTGTCCAGCGACGCCATGTCATCCCTGCACTGTCTGCGTCCATAACTATGGAACCCTGTCTACCAAATTACGCTAGATAGTTGTTGAGCGTACAAAAAAGTTCATGCGTCCTTTAACTGGTATTGTTATTGATCCTACTGAGTGTCTAGCCACCCTTCTCAAGCCTCTGCTGGGAGAACAGCTTTACCCGACATTGACTCGACTATGCAGAAATCAGTAACAAAGTTAAATTGATCAATTATAAAGTTTGCTATTTAATTCTCCCTTTTTTTGGTTGACAATTGGAAAAAGTAAGAAACGGTAAATATTTATATCTTCAAAATCATTGGAAATTTGAACGAGAAATTTCTAGAAGCAGATGTAAAATGTAAGTAATAAAGCGGAAGACACATTTACTATTACGAGGAATGTTATATTTCTTAAAATTATTGAAATGTAAAAATAAGTTTCTTTTTAAAACTGTAAATCATATATCTTTGTGTATTTATTCTAAGACTGCTCTCGGGGAGTGCCACATAAAAGGCGAAATCGTAATAAATGGGGTTAGTGGAGAAAATCAGAAATTGGATTAAACTGGGAACGTCGGAAAAAATGAAAAATCTTTGGAAAAGGAGAAGTCAGGATTTGATCAACGTTCATTCATTTTGAATGCTATGTATATGGAGATTATATTTAAAATGAATTGAACACTAAAAGAAAGTATTGCAAAAAAATGATTTCCCAACAAAGTAGATTTCAAATGAAAATTTTCCAGCAATCTATTGAGTCTGATGACTTAACAGTCAAAAATGAAGAAGCGTGGAGTCGTATTAGGCTTCGTCGGGATTGGAAATAACAAAAAAAAACAAAAAAAAACTAGGGTTGGGTAACTATTTACATTATTCGGACTATTGTCCTCATCTTTGTCGCCATATTTATCACAACATTTCGGGCGTTGCTCCGGCCTTCTTCAGGTGGTTAGAATGTCGAACTGAACCCTTTATTTTGCTCACTTTATCCACTTATAAAGGCGTTAGTTAGATCCAGTGACAGGACACAAAGTGTGTGAGTTCAATACCCGGTTAAGGCAGTGGAGAACGTGGAGAGGTGAATTAACAGAAGATAATTGATAATTGACATCCATTAAACTGCTATGCCATATCAAATGTTGGATAATTTACTAAGAGATGAAGAGGAGACACGAAGAAAAAGAGGCCTAGAGAAGACACGAAGCAAAAGAGACGAAGAGGAGACACGAAGCAAAACAGATGAAAAGGAGACAGGAAGCAAGAGATGAAGACACGAAGCAAAAGAGATAAAGACGAGACACGAAGCAAAAGAGATAAAGACGAGACACGAAGCAAAAGAGATGAAGAGGAGACACGAAGCAAAAGAGATGAAGAGGAGACACGAAGCAAAAGGGTAGAATATGAGACACGAAGCAAAATGGCCGGAGAGGAGACACGAAGCAAAAGTGACGAAGTGGAGACACGAAGCAAAAGAGACGAAGAGGAGACATGAAGCAAAAGAGACGAAGAGGAGATATGAAGCAAAGCAGATGAAGAGGTGACACGAAGCAAGAGATGAAGAGACACGAAGCAAAAGAGATGAAGACGAGACACGAAGCAAGAAATATGAAGAAGAGACACGAAGCAAAAAAGATGAAGAGGAGACACGAAGCAAAAGAGATGAAGAGGAGACACGAAGCGAAATAGCGGAAGAGGAAATATGAAGCAAAATAGACGAAGAAGTGACACGAAGCAAAAGAGACAAAAAGGAGACCCGAAACAAAAGAGTCGAAGAGGAGACACGAAGCAAAAGAGGCGAGGAGGTAACATGGAGCAAAAGTGACGAAGAGGAGACACGAAGCAAAAGAGACGAAGAGGAGACATGAAGCAAAAGAGACGAAGAGGTGACACGAAACAAAAGAGAGGAAGAGGAGACACGAAACAAAAGTGACGAAGTGGAGACACGAAGCAAAAGAGACGAAGAGAAGACATGATGCAAAAGAGACGAAGAGGAGATAGGAAGCAAATAGACGAAGAGGAGACATGAAGCAAAAGAGACGAAGAGGCGACACGAAGCAAAAGAGACGAAAAGGCGACACGAAGCAAAAGAGACGAAGAGGAGACATGAAGCAAAAGAGACGAACAGGTGACATGAAACAAAAGAGAGGAAGAGGAGACACGAAGCAAAAGTGACGAAGTGGAGACACGAAGCAAAAGTGACGAAGTGGAGACACGAAGCAAAAGAGACGAAGAGAAGACATGAAGCAAAAGAGACGAAGAGGAGATATGAAGGAAAGCAGATGAAGAAGAGACACAAAGCAAGAGATGAAGAGACACGAAGCAAAAGAGATGAAGACGAGACACGAAGCAAAAGAGATGAAGACGAGACACGAAGCAAAAGAGATGAAGAAGAGACACGAAGCAAAAAAGATGAAGAGGAGACACGAAGCAAAAGAGACGAAGAGGAGACACAAAGCGAAATAGCGGAAGAGGAAACATGAAGCAAAAGAGACGAAGAAGTGACACGAAGCAAAAGAGATGAAGAGAAGACACGAAACAAAAGAGTCGAAAAGGAGACACGAAGCAAAAGAGGCGAGGAGGTAACACGGAGCAAAAGTGACGAAGAGGAGACACGAAGCAAAAGTGACGAAGAGGAGACACGAAGCAACAGAGTCGAAGACGAGACCTGAAGCAAAAGAGTCGAAGAGAAGATATGTAGCAAAACAGATGAAAAGGAGACACGAAACAAGAGACGAAGAGGAGACACGAAGCAAAAGAGTCAAAGAGGCGACACGAAGCAAAAGAGACGAAGAGGTGACACGAAACAAAAGAGAGGAAGAGGAGACACGTAGCAAAAGAGTCGAAGACGAGACACGGAGCAAAAGAGATGTGGTTTTACGGACTGATTATGGGGATATCATGGACGAAAAACGTGAACAAGTTCTCAAGAAAAATGGGCACTCGAATGATAATTGGACTTAATATCAGAAAGGAGTAGTTGAAATTTGTCATGAAGAAAGGGGGCTTAGAAAATTTAACAGTCACAGGAGATAATAAATGAAGTGGAGACTGATAGAAATAGCGGGTATCCCGCCTAATTATTTTGGGTGAATGCTCGACAGGACAGGAATATAAAGGGTTAGTAAAGAGGGTAACGTTGCTAAGAGCAACCGGAGACCAGAAATTATAGAGAGCCTTGGTCACCCATCGCACTGAAGGGACATGACATATAAAAGAGAAGAATGTAAAGAAGGAGGCACAAAGGAACAAATATTCTTCAAGGAAATCAAAACAGGAAGATATGGAGATTAATGTTCATCACGTCTTGGAGGAATGAGAGAGAGAGAGAGAGAGAGAGAGAGAGAGAGAGAGAGAGAGAGAGAGAGAGATATCCAGAGAGAAAGATAGACAGAGAGAGAGAGAGAGAGATTGAGAGAGAAAGAGTGAAAGAGAAAGCCAGAGAGAACGAAAGACAGAGTGAGAGAGAAAGAGAGACAGAGGGAGAGAGAAAGCCAGAGAGAAAGATAGACATAGTGTGAGAGAGAGAGAGAGAGAAAGAAAGAGTGAGAGAGAAAGAGAAAAAGAGAGAAAGAATGAGAGAGAAAGGAGGAGAGAGAAAGAAGGAGAGAGAAAGCCAGAGAGAAAGATAGAGAGAGAGAGAGAAAGAGTGAGAGAGAAAGAGGGAAAGAGAAAGCTAGAGAGAACGATAGACAGAGTGAGAGAGAGAGAAAGATAAAGAACATGAGAGAAAGCTAGAGAGAACGATAGACAGAGTGAAAGAGAGAGAGAGAGAAAGAGTGAGAGAGAAAGAGCGAGAGAGAAAGCTAGAGAGAAAGATAGACAGGGTGAGAGTGAGAGAGAGAGAGAGAAAGAGTGAGAGAGAAAGAGCGAGAGAGAAAGCTAGAGAGAAAGATAGACAGGGTGAGAGTGAGAGAGAGAGAGAGAAAGAGTGAGAGAGAAAGAGCGAGAGAGAAAGCTAGAGAGAACGATAGACAGAGTGAGAGATAGAGAGAGAGAGAGAGAGAAAGAAAGATGGAGAGAGAAAGCCAGAGAGAACGATAGACAGAGTGTGTGTGTGTGAGAGAGAGAGAGAGAAAGAAAGAGTGAGAGAGAAAGCCAGAGAGAGAGAGAGAGAGAGGGGGGGATAAATACATAATAAATTGTAATATATCCACAGAAATGAAACATTTATATTGTTCGAACTGTTGTCGTCATTTTTATTTGCGATGTTCACAATGTTTCGGCCGTTGTATACTCCGGATTTTTTCAACTGATATGAGTGGATAAAAGTGGATAAAAGCGTTGGCTGAGTGATCCAAAAGTGACTTGAATCAAAGAGTTGTGAGTTCAATACTTGGCCACGGCAGAGTGAACAAAAACTTGGAGAGTTGAGTTACTGAAGTGAAATAACTGAAAGTGTCATATCCAGAAAAGTCACGACACGTGGAATTAGAACAATCTACCCCCATGGACTAAATAAAGGGTTCGGTTCGAAATTCCAACTAATATCACATGGAGAAGGTTGGAGCGTGCAGCGGTCGAAACGTTGTGAATATGGCAATAAAGCTGAGGGCAACAGCCCGAACGATGTAAATAACGTAAATAGTTACAATACCTCATCTCAGAAATATAGACAGATATTTTACTGGTATTAATCGAATTATAATTATATATTATGTTAGTTTACCGATGCTATGAAAATGGAGACATATATGAAATTAATTTTGAAGCCCTCGTTATTATTAGAACGTTTTTACATGTGTGTGTTAAATTATGCATATTTTCTAATTACTAATATGACGTCTTGCTCTTTCAGAGAGAAAGAGATAGAGAGAGAGAAAGAGAGAGAGGAGAGAGGGATGGAAGAATGCTAAGGAGATTGAATTCATAGGATGGAAATTGTAACAACTGTAAAACTATTTCAGATGAGAGCTTGCTGTGTGGCTGACCCAATGTTGTATAGAAAACCTAAACGAACTTCATTTGCTCATATGTAGCATGATTCAGAAGTTGATATGCACTCACAAACCCGAGACACGATGTAAAATGCGACACAACCCATCTGCTGTGTGGTGGGACAGTTTTACTTTCATGCGTTTCGGACTGTAAACATTTACTGTGTTGACTAAGTCATCTGGAAGTTATCTTCTCTGTCTGGCGTGAAGAAGAAACAATTTAGCGCTTTTATTTTTTTTTTACCTCTCTAAGGGAGGTAACAAGTGATATAATCAGGATCAAATTACACGTAAGAAAAAAACAAAAGACAAAACCGTTACTTTGTGATACCGTCATCCGAGTGGATACTTCCCCGTTCAATTTTAACCTTTATTACTTCATAGTCTGTACTCCATACGTCATCTTCTTACGTCCATATAACAATCTCATTCAATAAACCTTTACCTTGAGTGTCTTTCAGGCCTTCGGGTATTGGATGCTCGATTGGTAAAAAAGAAGCAAAAGTAATTCATTTACGATTGGTCACTGGCAGACCGTGAGCCTGAAGGTTATAATGAATGAGGCAAACCTACAATAACATGCTAGCCATCGATCGAAAAAAATGGACAGCAAAATTTACTATATCCAGAGAAATGAAAAACATATTTTATTGGTTATGCTATTTACGTTGTTCGGACTGTTGTCCTCGTGGTTATTGCCATATTCACAACGTTTCGGTCATTGTACGCTCAGGTCTTCTTCGGGTGATAATAGTGGATAAAAGTGGATAAAAGCGTTGGTTGATTGATCCAAAAGTGACTTGACCCCAAGAATTGTGAGTTCAATACCGGGTCACTGCAGAGATGAACAAAAACTTGGAGAGTTGATTTACTACAGAGAATTAACTGAAACTGGGACATCCAAAGGAACTAAATAGAGGATTCGGTTTGAAATTCCAACTAATATCACCTGAAGAAGGCTGGAGCGTACAATAGCCGAAACGTCGTGAATATAACAATAAAGATGAAGGCAACAGTCCTAACAGTGTAAATAGCGTAGTTACACTATCTTACCTCAGAAATATAGATAGATATTTTACTGGTATTAATCATGCTATAATTATATATTATGCTAGTTTACCGATGCTGTAAAAATGGCACTATATATGAAATTAATTTTTAAGCCCTTGTTATCATTAGAACGTTTGCACATGTGAGTTTTAAATTATGTATATTTTCTAATTACTAATATGACATCTTGCGCTTTCACCGAGTTGCTGTTTGTTCCCTCTTGACTTCAGAAATATCTTGGTACATTCCGCCATTGAAATACCACGAATACTGCCACCTGACATCAGCAGTGAAAATGTGATAGCTGTAGTCACAGATAAAAATAAGAAAATAAACGTTTGCTATCTATCTATCTATCTATCTATCTATCTATCTGATAAATATTATTGAATAAGGAATACGTTGCTAATTTTATATGCATATTCTATCGTTTTTGTAAAAGAAAACAAATGGTTGAGTCAACACTCGGCATGAATTTTCTTACATTGGTACTAGCAATTTCAACCATTGTCCGGACATTCTCAGGAAGAAAACCTAAGTTATATTTGTAAGGAAAAGAAGGGATGAGGAACTCAAACAGCTATCGTATAGATGTTTCTCTTCGAGATCGTTAGAGTTTAATTGGTGTACATAGATTTTATAGAAAAAAAATATTTGCCAAACGCAAAGAAAGATATTAATGATAATGGCAGTCTCTTTCTCCTTGTGTCCCTCTTTCTGTCTCTCTGCATACACACACACACACATATATATATATATATATTGTAAGGTAATGAAGAGTTTGGTAATCCGTGTGGATAATTCCAAAGGTGGTGTAATCCAGAGAGCTCAATGTAACACCGGAGCAAATATTTATTAAATAATTATGAAAGAGACATTAAATTATAATCATGGAACCTTAAGGTTGTCTCTTTCTTAATTATTCATATATATATATATATATATATATATATATATATATATATATATATATATATATATATATATATATATATATATATATATATATATATAATGAACATTGACGTCAAAATTGAGTAGCGACAGTGTTTCATGCCTGGACGCAATATTCAGGCCTTTTTTTCTATTTGCATACACTATATCCTTAATATTGTGCACTTATATTCATAAATATAGCATACCTTAAAACTATATTTTATCAATATATGGTTCAATGATTCAGTGATGCCGTCGGGAGTTCTAAAATAACAAAATTATCTTGAAACACTAAAGAGCAAATTTATTCAATAAAATCGCCATTGCCATCAACAACGGCCTCCTGACAACTTCAGAATCTTCTGCAACTCTTTTGGACGGTCTCCATGTTTAAGTTGGTGAATACTGCCATAATCCTTACCTTATCTTTGGTGTTACAAGGAGTTTTCTTGGTCTCTCTCTCATAATAATCGAGGGGGTTGCAGTCTGGGGAATTATTTGGCTAGATGTAAAGGGTGACTTGCTCGTAGAACTTGTCTCATAGCCATGTCTGGGTTCTCCTGCTTGTGTGGCATGTTGCAGAATCCAGTTGCCAGACATAGGGTCTTCCAGCAGCCACCCTCTTGACCCAGGGATGCACTACCTCATCACTTGATGTCGGCTTGTGTTGAATCTGAGGCCTTCGTCAACAAATTCCTGCTTTCTTTTCTTATCAGAACGAAAAGAGTGAGATTTTCCGAGTTGCAGTACCTTCGTAATCACCATGGAGGGTGAATGGAATCTCTCTGAGCCTTGGTTGGCAATCCATTTAGTGTTGGTGTCACGATAAAAACACCCTTGATAGCCCTAGCGAAGCATCAAGAATTCAGCTATTTGACAAGATTATGAACTACACCAATCAAAGTATTGGTGAGTTCAATCTCGGCTGAGGCCGCAAGATGATGATGAATCACCATTAGAATCATCCAACTCTTTCTTGCACTCTCCTCAGATTGACACCCAAACACTCTGAAATGTTCGTATTGGAGTTTACAATCCGAATGTCAAGCAGTACAGCATACTGTTTCCAAATTTCTGGCGACTCGAATTATGCCATGATGCTTTTTTTCTCACAGACTATACTGTCAAAAAACAAACAATGCGCATGCCGGAAGTTAAAATGGCGACAATTTACCCATCGCACTATGTATATGTTTCTACATGGATTTGTGAGTATGTTACTATATTTATGCATGTGTGTGCACGTGTGCGTATATGTATGTGCATATGTGTGCGCACACGCTTCTATCGCTCTAATGTTGATTACAGTCGGCGGTTTGATTCCAATAACTCGTTGGAAAGTGAACAGAAATCCATCATATGAACGAGATTAAAACCATTGAAATGCAGTTCGTATACGTCATTATTTCGATGGCTTATAATAGAGGTCCATTTTTTTACTTACAGCAGGTCAAAGCTTTACTGCTAGGACACGTTATGCCATAGCCTCAGAGTCAAATCACCCCCATTTCTCCTGTATTTTAAGTGTAAGGTGAAAGTTCCACTCAGCTTTTTTGCCAAGAACTGTTATTTTGTGGAACACACTCGTACGCTGATGCTTCCCTGAGCACTATAATCTTATCAGTCAAGTATAAAACTTTATCTATCCTCCTTATCCTCATATTCTTCATTTCCAGCAACTTCCTCTTTCATTCATATCATACTTTTCATTTACCATAGCCACAAACCTTTACCTTGAGTGGCTCTCAGTCCTTGTACTGAGTAGGCTTTAGTATTCATTGAGAGTATGAATCCTTCATTTAATTCTTGAGTGAGACAGATAATATGAGTAATATAATGAATAATATGAACAGATAATAATAATAATAAACGTTATTACGTATAATATCTATTCTATCATTCAGTTATGTACCATGCGTGATAAACGCTTAGGGGATGATTTATCTTTCGATACATGACTGACGAGGCAGATTTTTTCCCGCAATAGGTTGCCATTTCTTTCTGCCCAGTTGCCATCCAAGGCTATAGAATCTGGTTTGTCCTGCTATTTAACCAGAGCTAGAGGGAGAAGAAAAGGATTCATACCTTTCCCAAGAGTATTAGCAGGTAAGTGGATGTAATGTATTCGACTGGAATACGAACTCGCCTCTCTGATTCCTCAATCCGAGCCTCTATCCATTACTCCACAAATACATAGGCGCCTCTTTAACTGA